AGACAAGGTCAGTCCAATAATTTTTTTTATGGCTGCCTCCTACACAGAAAATCAGTGCAAGGTTAGAGCGGCAAGGTTTTCTGGATGTCTTTGCAGAAAGGGGGCTCTTCTTTCCATGATTTACCTTGAAGAAGAGGAATTTTTCGTTTCTTGGACCTACTTCAGGGGAGGAAAAAAGATACAGTCAAAAATAGACTGCATTTCTGAGACCTGCCTAGTATCTCTTTCTAAAGTGTTTGGCATGCCAAAGTGCTATATTTTTATGTATTGTTTCTTTCTTTTGGCAGTACTGAGGATCAAACCCAAGGCTTTGTGCACAGTGGACAAATACTCTTCCACTGAACTACACCCCCAACCCTAGGGAGTCATTTTCTGAGCCCCAACATTAGCAAAGGAATTTCTGAGAACTAATCATTTTAGGATGGTTATTAGAATTTCATTTATTTGCACACAGCAATCTTACATTTTAGTAATTATTAACATTTCATTGAAACAATAATAATTTGTTGCCTCCATAACTAGTGTAGAAGATTAAGAAGTTCAAACTTTAGCAGAATAAGGCCCAGGCTTTTGGTCAAAGGGGAGGTGGTTCAGTGGAATAAGTGCTTCCCTGGCAAGTGTAAGGGCCTGAATTCAATCCCTGGTTCCGGGATTGAATTTTTTCCGGGGGGGGGGGGAAGGAAACAAGAAAGGCCAGTATTTGGGAGCTGAGGGTTGAAAGGAAGAAATCAGGCTTACTCAAAGGCTTGGCATCTCAGAAAACAGAAGGGCTGTCATCCCCAAGGCTCCATTTCTGCAGACTTGGGGACCCAAAGGGCTTTATAGAAAAGGAAAGGAGGATCAGGAAAGAAAGATCACATGCTCAATGGGGTCTTCAGACCCAAGGCATGTGTCTCTTCTTTCTGTCTCCATGACATTGCAATGGACCTTAACCTCCTCGGGCCAGTTCCTATAGTTCTTTTTAAGTATTACCTTTCTGCAAGTTAAACCTAGCCCTAACGTACATGTTTTGTGTTAATGGATACAAAGGATCTAAGAAATAAAGGCTGGCAGTACATACATATTCTAATAGTATCTGAAGATCAGCAGATGTGCTGAGTTGCATAAAGCTAAAGGAAAATTATTGAGCATTTGAGATCTTGTGCATGTGGTGCTGGGAATCAGCTGCAGGGTCTTCAGGCACAGCTTCATCCCCTGTCCCTTTTTAATTTTAATTTTTAATCTTGAGACAAAGTCTTTCTAGGTCACCAGATTGCCTAGGTGAAACTGGAGCTTGCAATCTTCCTGCTCCAGACTCCCAGAATGCTAGGATTATCAGAATCTAACTCCACACCTGGCTAGCATTTAACATACCAGTTGAGGTGGGGATTTTCTGCAGAATTTAGAATGCCAGCCCAAAGGGAGGGACCTGAAAAAGATTAGAGAGGAAAAGCAACCTTGCTGAATAGTAAGGGGGAGAGAAACAAAAGCAGCTCTGCCAAGGACAATTCCCAATGACTCAGCCATTGTCATAAAATCAGTAAGAATTTTTATTAAAAGTATTTATTATTTTGAGGAAATAGATTCCCAGTGCAAGTCTTAATCCCACTAAAATTAGAAAATTGATTAAATGTTTTAATCAAGAAGGCAAATTTCTTTTCAAAAATACGGATTATACCATACAAAAGTTCTTTCCTAGACTATATTTGAAAAAAGTCTTATTTTATACCAGTAAACACCTAGTTCTCATTATTTACTCTTATAAAGTAATGAGGCAGAAAGTTAAACTGTTTTTTTTTTTTTCTTTTTGACAACATACTAAGGTGGAATAGACTCAAACTGAACAAGAGCTTCATCTGCGTAGCATTATTTCTTGTTTATTGTGTTCCAAAGTTCATGGCTATGTTACTGTCCTTCAACATTCTTTCCTGCCTCATCTTTACAAGTATGGTAACAGGTAGGATAGCATTTTAAAATGTTATGATATGTGAATAAACATCAAGTTTCTACAAGATCACTGAAGCATGAAGGCTCAGGATTTTTGATTTACACATTATATTAGTAAGGTTTTGATTAAACTTTGCAAAGAATTCTCCCCAGCATTTACCTATAAAGAATAAAAAGGTGGACTTTTTCTTTTTCTTTTTCTTTCTTCTCCTTTTTTGTTTATTCATTTGTTTATTTATCTTTTCGAGCCAAGATTTCACCATGCAAGTCTGGCTATGAACTCACTTTCTAGCCCAGGTTGGCCTCCAACTGATAGCAATCCTCCTACCTCAGCCTCCTGAATACTGGGATCATGGGCATGTGCCACCATACTTGGGCTCCACTTACATTTTTTACCTCATTGCTTAAACCTGCTATTCATCCCAGAGCTCCAAATTCTACTCATAGTAACAGTACCTCCTGGATCACCCAAGCGACTCATTTCTGTTGGTCGCCCGGGTCTCTTCTCTTTGCTCCTTCCTCCCTGCTCATAGTATCTGTGCTACACAAAGCATCTAGCTCATTCCTTCTCAGTCCATATCTCCAGCTCGGCTCAGGTGCCTATTCATTTTTCATCGTGATAACTTTCTCATTATTTCTCTCTCTCAAGAATCTTCTTTCATCCAACTATTATACTGGGAACTATAATAAGATCTCTCTCTCTCTCCAATTCCTGATGTAGACCTCCTAAACCCTTGTCATTGCCTGAGCAATAGTGGAGCTAGGTATGCTAAAAGGATCTGTTGTTCTGATGTTTGGTCTTTGATCGTGGATCCTGAGACAGAGCTCCTAAGCGTTAGGCTTTGCTGGGCAATAGGGGGGTCTTTTGTTCTGCCAGAGGCAATTCATAGTGGGCTCCCAGATGGAAGGTACAGTAAAAGAACCGCCAGATTAGAAGTTTTCAGCCCAACCTTTGGGAAAAGAGTAGGCCGAAGTTTGAGTTAATAGTTGATCAGAGCAGCTGGGCTCATGGTGGCTCACACTGGCAATCCCAGCACTCTGGCAGGCTGAATTGTGGGATTCCCAGGCAGTGTGTGTTGGATGGAGAATTGTTGACATATTGGGAAAAATGCTCACACATCTTAGCGAGAATGTGATAAGTGCTGAGACTATCATAGGAGAAAATAGTGTTTTTCCTAATATCGTACCTTATACCTTGCTTCCATAAATGGTTTCTGTACTCCTTGTAACTTTTAGCAACCTCACTTACCTAATGACTGCAGTGCACACCGCAATAAGCCTTACCTCCTCCCTTGCCTGCTCACTGAAAGAGAGCCACCTGCCTCCCTTGGGACAAATGGCGCCCTCACAGCCCTTCTGAAGGCCCTATGTCGCTGCAGAATTAAAGAATCTAATGGAAAACACTGAGGATCCAATATAAAAGCAAGGTTAAGAGACAGTGTCCAAAGTGTAGTGCTGTTTTATTCCTATGTGGGGCGTGTGATTCACACACGGTAAAGCCCGCCTGTCATCCTATTCACTGGTATGTGTGAAAAGCGTCTCCAAAGGACACACAAGAAGCTGGGACCAACATTTTCTCTGGAGAGGAATAAAATAGCTGAGAAATCGAGTGGGAAAATAGTTTTACATTGTAAACTCTTCAGTTTCTTTCCAACATTTTCATCATGCCTATGTACTACTTATTTCCATTATTTAATAAAATTATATAGATATTCATATCACAACAATTTTGCTCTAGATAAATTGCTTGATGAAGCCCTACCCATGGACAAAGGGAGGTAATGCAACGTTCTTTCTAAGGGTGACACTACAAATAACCAAAATCTTCATCAAGTGGGAATGAATACATAAAATATGTAAAATATGGACCAGTACATGAAAATTAGGTAGAATAAATAAATCTAGCATAGATTCTTTTGCAAAACAGATCACCGTAAGTGAAATTTTTAAAACTCACCAGTATAAAAATGAGATAGCTGGGCATGGTGGTGTATGCCTGTAATCCCAGCACTCAGGAGGCTGAGGAAGGAAGATCAAGCTCTACCTGAGCAACTTAGTGATTTAGAGAGACTAATAATAAAAAATTAAAAAGAACTAGTGGTGTAGCTCAGTACCAAGTCATTAGCTTCAACCCCCAGGTCTGAGAGGGGGGCCCTCTACAAAAGGGTACCAAACCCACAGTGGGACTTACCGCTGTGCATGGCAAGGTTAGGTGGGATAGGAGCTTCCACCATGCCTAGAACATTTCATTTCTTTTTCTTTTTTCTTTTCTTTTTTCTTTTTTTCTTTTTTCCTGGAACCGTGATTGAACTCTAAGCCCTTGTGCTTGCCAGGGAAGCACTGAGTCATCTCCCCAGCCCCATTTTATTTCTTTTAAAACTGCAAAAAAAAAAAAAAAATATGAAGCAAATAAGACAAAATGTTAGCATCTTTAGTTTCGAGTGATAAAAATGCAGATGTCTATTACTTCCTTCTTTTCCTGTTCTAAAAATTTTAAATAAATATGAGTTGTACCTACCTAGTGAAAGTCCTGCAGATAAATCCTTTTATTGATTTATAAATGAAGTAGAACAGAGAGGCCGAGGAGAGTAAGAAGTAAGAAAGAATTAAGATGTATTATCTGCAAGTATCACTCCCCACTGTGAATGCAGTCATTATGGACTGCAAATGTGTACCAGTAAAAATAGAAAATTTTTACAGTTAAGTAATTTCTAAATAGCCAGCCTTAATATTATTAATTTATATTCTTTTTTAATAAAAAATACAAAATGTTGTGTTGAAGGTTTGAGAACATTTGGAAACTCTGGTTTCTCAGGTCACATTTCAGACATCGCAAAACAGGTGGACCATTACCCACTGCGGGACCTCGGGGCGGGGTGACCTGTCACAGCACGACTCCTGCACACGCCCATTCCTTCACCTTAGCCCGCATCCTTCCCACCCTCACTCAGCCTGTTCTCTGGAGGAGACAAAAAAATTTGCCCCGGAGCATATTTCTTTTCCCTGCGCCCCTTTGTTCTTTGTGGAAATAGAGGCGGAGCTACAGGCACCTCTTTAAAAACCTGAGTCTCCACACTTGCCTAGTACTTTGGTTCCAGCGCTCTGCTCCTGCGAGGAAGCAACCAGCCACAATGATACCTGGAGGCTTGAGCGAGGCCAAACCTGCTACTCCTGAAATCCAGGAGATTGCTGACAAGGTGAGTTGAAGCATTTCAGGAAAAAGTTTGATCAAAACCTCAGACCATAGTGTGGCCCTGGGGTAGGAGCAGAGAGGAACACGAAATCCAGAGCAATGGTAAGTGTGTGGCTTTGGGGCAAGGGAAACTGGAACACTGAGCTTCTGAGGTGAATAATCCCAACGCTACCAGAGTTGACCAAGTCACATTTCTTGCTGGAGCTTCATATCCCTTTTGCTAAAGAAGAATTTGTACTGAATCAACTTTAGAGCCCTTGTGTCCATGTCTGACTGGAGAGCAAATGATTAGTTAGTCATGAATGTTTCCATCCTGTAATAAAAATCTAGTCATTAACAATTCGATGAACTAGACTTCGAATGCTCTGCAGGAGAGTTTTTTGGTTTTGTTTTTAATGAGTTGAGTGAGGGACAATATTGTGAAAATGATCAGTAACTAACTTGCTTCGTGTTTGCCTAAATAGACACCATTCTAGTGTCTTGAATGGAGTAATTAAATCAGTAGAGAAGAGAACTAATCCTCTAGTAGGCCACCAAATTGATTATGAGAAAAATGAAACTCAGTATTTCTAGCAAATCAATAAATTTTTAAGTGTTTTTTGGTTAGCTGTCACCCATGTAGTTTATGTTGCATATTTTTGAAAGGAAAATACATTATGGCTATAGCTCTTTAATTTGTGACCTCACTTTCTTATACCATCCCTTCTTGTTTTTCTCTCTAAAATGTCATTCTGTGATACTTTTTGGCAAACCAGATGAGCTTTTGGTGTGAGCAGAAGAGATGAGATGCTTTATTTTTCAGACAATGAAAGTTCTGGAAGCAACTAGATGTCTGAAACTGTACCACTCATTCTTTAGAGCTAAATATTTATCTTTCTAAACTTATTTTTAATTTTTCAGTAAATTTTTTAGTTTAGAATAATTTTATATTTACAGAGAAGTTGCAAAGGTAGTACAGAATTCCACTTTCAGTTTCCCCTAAAGTTATCATCTTATATCATCCTGGCCCTTTTATTAAAATCACTGGAGGCTAAATTCTAGATTTGTATGCAGAGTTCATTCATTTTTCTCACTGATATTATTTTTCATTCCAAAATCTCAGCAGGGTTTCATGGTACCTTGGGTTGTCACACCTCATTAGTCTCCTCTGGCCTGACCTGTGACTGTTCTTCAGTTTTCCTTGTATTTCATGACCTTGAAAGTTTTGAAGATGTGTTTGGAGAAGGTCTTATTTGGGTTTGTTTCTTTGGAAATTATGGAATGTTTGAACAAAATAAAAACCAAGATGCTGTGACTACTGATACTGGCTCTCTTCCCAAGGCTTTCTGTCAAGTCCTAAAAACTTAAAGGCTGAGCCTTAGGTTTTTGCTTTATTTTTTTTTAATGTAGTTTATTGGCACCTGTCATTAGGCCTTCTTGCCTCCTTTAATTACTTTCATCAATCTAATAATAGTCTCCCTCCTACTTTCATGCCATCTTCTTTAGACTCCTCCTATTAGGGAAAGAAGTTTATTTTTTATTATTATAACTTTCTTTTATTTTGAAGAGTAAAAACAAAAGCAAGGAAAACAAAAACAAATACAGAATCAGGGTAACATACAACAATACATATAAAGAAGTTTCTTTTCAAACTTACCTTGGAGCTCATGGATTGATTGATTGAACTGCACTATGCAGTTCAGGCTGGCCTCAAACTCATTTTGCAACCCAGGCTGGCCTCACACTTGAAGTGATCTTCCTATCTCAGCCCAGATCAGCATTCTCACTTGGCTATGCATTGTCACCTGTGGGCCTGATCAAGTGCAAACTCCAACTCAAGAGGTATGGGACGGACCAAAAAAAAATCTGCATTTCTACCAACCCCTAGATGCTGCTGAAGCTGCCACTAACCTGGACCTCACTTGCCTGCAAGTCCAATTTTGTTTGTAAAAAGAAGATAACACATCTTGCCCCACAAATTTCAGACCTGTAAGGACTACCTGAAATACTGTGCATATGAATGACTCAACAATGAAAAAGATCCATGCCTAAATGAGGTTTCATAACTTTTTACTTAAAAATATTGCCTGAAATCATCCCTAGCTCTGAAAAATCCTCCTGAGATCACCCCTAACTCTGAAAAATCCACCCCTCTCTCTGATGTCAGGAACCAGAGGTACTATAAGGAGATAGGGAAGGATAGAGATTTAAAATGCAGAAAGCACTATTGCCTAGTTAACTACAAGTTTACTTATTTGTTGTCTTGTTTATTTCAGCCCAGGATTGTCCCAAACTCTTAGGCATAAGCAATCCTCTCACCTCAGCCTCTCAAGAAACTGGTTCTACAGTCATGCTCCACCATGCGGAGTCAGAATAACTTTTTCCTGTCCTAGGAACTGAACCCATGGCCTTCACACTGAGCTACTTCTGCAGCCTCTTGCTTTTATTGCTGCTGCTGTTATTATTTTATTATTTGAAAGAAGGTCTCACTGACTCACTCAACTGCTCAGACTAGGCAGTCTTCCTGTGTCAGCCTCCCAGGGGTCTGGGACGCTAGAAATGCACCACAACAACCTGCTAGAATAATATTTTTTAAAGAAGTTACCTGAAGGCTTTACTTGGTTAGTGACACTACGTTGCTCTGAGCCATGTCTTCTATTATAAACTTAATTGGAAAATGTTTTTCTTTCTGCCTTCCTCAGCCTCTGACTTTGTCAGGCAGATAGAATAAGAAATAGATATGGATGGTATTACCTCACCCCACAAAGGCACTTTCTCTGTTAGGAGCCCTGACTCTCCTTTGGTCTTCATAACCCTGAGGCATGTAGATGGCTACAAGAAGTGTGCATCAATGATGCCCCTGGAGGGTAAGCTCAGTTCTTGGAATTTTTTTTTTCTTTTCTCTGTATTTCAGACAGGATCTACAGGGTCTCACTACATAGATCAGACTTGTAATGATTCTCCTGTTTTCAAATGAAGCTCTGGGATTACAGGCACGTGCCACTGCTCCCAGTCTCAATCACTGTCTCAGCGCACTCTAAGGGCAGGGCAGCCACAGCAGGCCAGGGTCGAACCTGTGCCCTGCGCTCTGTTGAAGCAGGCACTTTAGTCAGCTGAGCTATTAAGTCTGCCCACAAACTCGGTTCTTGCATATCTCCTATGTGTCTAGCAATGAGCTGAGTTTACAGAAGCTATTGGGGCTGCAAGGGACTGTCCCAGCCTTCAAGGAGTTTACTGTTCAGCAGGGAAGTCAGAATATCTAGAACATAATAGAAAACAATGCCCAATTGAATACTTGGCAATAATCATTGGCTTAGGGTAAGAAAGGACTTTAAGGTTTGTGAGTGAGCCCCCTTTACTCTCAGGTAAATAACTACAGTGGTGGTTCAGCTCATGAGGCACTGAACTCCCAGTATATCTGATCTGTCCTCCTGAAGGAGACAGCCTTAAGGAACAAGTCTCAGTTAAGTGGGGAAAGGTAGACCCAGTAGTTAGTAAGCTCTATGGTTTAGGATGCACTTTCACATCAGTTATATCAGTTTTATTTCCCTATACACAACCCCAAGAGGCAGATTTTATTATAACCACCGACCAAGTAAAGAAAATGAGTCAAGTCCTCTAAGACTGTAGAACTGATTAGGTCCCCATGCAGGGCTAGGCAAGTAGCTATCTACTGCTGGTCACCTGGATGAGCTGAGGGGGTCCTGGTGGAGCCTCCTTTAGTCTTTCCATTTCTGAATGTACTTCTATTTTTAAAAATCATTTGTTAAAATGCAAGTATTCTTAAAAGAGCTGGCAATAATGAGGTTTCCCACTCCCTACCAGAGAGCTTGTTAGTGTGCCGCCACCTGCAGGAAGAAGCCTCTGGGGAGGGATGGCCCACAGACACAACATAGGTAACTGCGCGTTCCAGGCATTCGACATTCAAGTAATTGAGGAATGTTGGATACAGTCAAAAGAAAAGAAGGGCAAGCAATGGGTTTGGAACTGAGACAACTTAAGCATTTTTGAAGGTAGAAGAAAAGATAGCAGAGGTCCAATGGTGATGTCATGTACTAAGCGATGCTAAAGGTACTTGGGTCCCTCTTCCAAGATTCTCTGTGTCAGCTGAGAGTCAATGCCTACATTTGGGAGATAAATAGTCAGAAAGAAAAACAACCATGATCTTCTCATTCAGAAAGCGTTGACTATGGAAGCAATATTGTGTGCATTGCCATGGAGGTAGGGGAACAAAATGATCCTCACCCTCTGGGAAATTTACCAAATAGACTGGAGATAAGAGAGAAACTAAGGGATGAATTTAATGAATTAAAGAGCCATATGTGGCCCCCTCAATGAAAAGTCATAATATACAGACTGAAGAACCAAATAAATCGATGGCCCCAACAGAGAAAGCTTGCATTGTTTCTTGGCCACTGTCCTAAATAGTTTCATATAGTATTATTGGATAGGAATTCTCAGTATACTTATGAAAATGAAAGAATTGTTATTTTAATAATTGTTTGTAGAAAAGATTATTGTTGTTGTTGTTATTTTCTGAGAATTGAACCCAGGGCATTCACACTGAAAAACATCCCTAGCCCTTTATTTTTATTTTATTTTCAGACAGTGTTTCTCAAAGGCTGGGCTTGATCTTCCTGCCTCAACCTCACTGAGTGCTGTGATTATAGGTGTGCACCACAATGCACTCAACAGAAGTGAGGACTATAATTACATATGCAAATGTAGTTGCATCATACACACACATGTACACACACACCGACACACACACACACACACACACACACACACACCCTTAAGTCATAAACCTGATTGCTACATACCATTCCTAGCCAAAACACAAAACAAAATTTTTCTTGGCCAGGATACCTTGCAAATATTTCATCTCCATACCTTCCTGGGCACACCTTGGAGTTTAGCATGTCACAGCTGTCACTCCATCGACACATTTATGTTCTCCTCTCTGATGTCAGCCTCCTCATTTATCACCTCTCCTACTGCCCCACACCTGAAGAACCTGTCTTT